GAGATGCAGCTTTCATTACGACACACGAGTTCCTATAGAGGTGCAGCTTTCATTACGACACACGAGTTCCTATAGAGGTGCAGCTTTCATTACGACACACGAGGACATGACACATAGAGGAATTTTATGGCATGTGTTCTTGTAGTTACACAGCTTTCATAAAGACATAATTTAACAAGTATATTCCTGAGTTCAGTCTGCAATATTATGACTAGGTTTTTGGAAGAAATATTTCTCGCATTTACTAGCGAGTTTCTCCAGAGACAGACTAGTGTACGGGCATGCGTGTGTGTATTGTTTCATGGGAAGGAGTTTTAGTTTCACTCCAAGAATAAAGAGAAACCAGAACTCATTGGGTCATTCCATATAACAAGTGAACTCTACAAGGGCATATTCCATAAACACAAAAGAGCTCTTACATGGAGATATCCTACCTGATACAGAGTGAGTTCATTTAGAGATTCAGCGTGTATTACGATAAGTTCACTGTAGAAGTGAGGAGTACAACGGCATTCCCCACTGGAACAAATTATAACAGTGGGAGTAGGAATGTTAGGACAAAATACCTGCTCCTAAGCCTCGCTCTTTCAAGGTGTGCTGCCATCAGACCACACGGTAACACTTTTAATAATATCAATGTCTCTCCATGTCTTTGCTGTGGGTTCTGAAAAAAGGTTCGAATGAGGGTCAAGAGAGCAGATACTGGCCGCCTTGACTACAACAGTACATTTATGCATAAGAACCGGTATAACTCCCGTTGAGAATACTGCGAGAATTATAATCTCTTTTACACGGGCTTTCATTCTATTTACTTCCTATGCTTTCTCCCGTATTCCTTTCCATTTGTACAAGTTATAGAATGATATTCAGTTATTCAGTATTGAGGGGGTGGGTTACCCCATGCACCGCGACCAGTTTGATCTATTGTGCGTCCCCCTTTGAATTTCTACTGTCTCCATACCCTACCGGTACTGGTGCTCGCTATCGTTCCCTTTCTGCCAGGTCGTCTCTCCTCTGGCAGTGGTACCTAAGCTTTCCCATCTGACGGAGGCATTGGAAACTACTTGGGCGGAAAATTTGCCTAATTTAGCTCAGAGGTCTCCTAGAGACATGAGGTTCTTTTACGTGCCGTAAATCTACGACACGGGACCCACGGCTTAAAGTCCCTCCAAGAGGACTTGTTCCATGAATTTTTCCGCCCTTAAAAATTCAACGACCTCCGCCGGGTTTGAACCCGCGTACCTTGAGTCATGAGGTGGGAATATTACCCCTAGACTACGGAGGCCGCTTATAGAATGATAAGTTGAGGCCGAAGACTAACGCCATTCCACACGAATAACTCGTACAAATAATCAATCGTAAACAGTCTCATTTATACAGTACATTACACTTCATACGTCCACAGCAAAATGTTATCAGTACTCACAGAACGGACACGATACACTGAAACAACTTATTGCTCACTCATTTGTGACCTCCCGGTACTACATAATTATGCGTTCATGCAATATATTTACGCTCGACAATTCCTTATAGTGGTAACCCGAAATTGTGATGGTTCCCAAAATGAAAACGTGCTTCGTATTTAGCCATTCTGACTTACAGTGTGTTTCTAAATTATTGTCGGGATTTCCCTGGCCTATAATTTTCAAATCTGAAGAACAAATAAAACTGCTCAGGAATAAGGAAGTGTAACTCAGAACGTTTTATTTGGCAATGCTGTACTCGCCGCATTGATGTCTGGGAGAAAATTTGACGTCATACCTCAAAATGGCGACTGTTGAAGAGAAAGCAATGTGTGTAGTACTTTGGTTTTTTGAAACAAAGTCCGTTATCAAATAGCAACGTCGTTACAGAACTCAATACGGAGAATATTCACCTTCAGACAATGCTATCTGAGGCTGGTAAAAGCAATTTAAAGAGACTGGTAGTGTTCTGCACCGAAAAGGTGCGGAAAGACCGAGCACTTCGCAGAAAGATTTTGCTCGAACTCAAGAAGATTATTCTTGATGTCCACAAAAATCAACTAGACGATCTTTTTGCAGTTAGGCATACTACAAACGACAGGTTGGAGGGTTGTTGATTCTACAGAAAATAAAACTTTCGAGTTACATTTTCATATTCTGTAAGCAGTTTCATTTTATTATTTTCGGCTTAAAAATTATAGGCCACGGAAATCCCGATAATAATTTGGAATCACCTTGAAAATTCATAAAAATTCAGCTCCATTGCTGTCAAAGTCACTAAAATCATTTTTCCAAATTATACAGTTCAACATTAATTCAGAAAATCAAAATTCCTCAGCCCCTTCCTCAAATCCACTGCTTATAGCCATTATAAAATCTTCATTTTCACACTGTTCTTATCAGAAGAACGGGAGGACGAAGCCTGGGAACCTTCTAGAAATACGATGTTCTTTCTTCCTCCCCGAAATAAAGTGACTCTCATTCCTCCCACGACTTTTCACTTTCACATACTCTTCTGCTACACTCTCCACCTCTCATTATTTCAGTCTTTGAAGTGTTAACAGAGATCTTGGCTAGCTGAGCGAACACTCTGCTCATCCTCCACAGGCACCCGCGAGCAAGCCTATGTTTACGCCCTAAGTTCGGCAGCCGTGGTCTACACGATAGCCCGAGCATGCGCTGCCGGTACGCTCTTTCATTGCGCGTGCGCATCTCCGCCCCGGGATCCCCCTAACGGAAACTTCAAGTGGGGCGGCTGCGGCGACAACGTCCGGTGGGGCTCTCAGTTCGGGAAGCAGTTCACTGACTCCGCGGAGAAACGAGGCGCCCGGACCGAACCCAGGTAAGAGAAATCTCGTCACGTCACCCCCATGTCTTGTGTGGGTGCCGTCATACCGGACAAATTAGGTCCCTGTTACTTAACCTAAAATCAGAAAACGTGTCAGACAGAAAATAAGGCCCAAAAATGGAAGCAGAAGCTACAAACATTTGATTTCTTAGGTCGTTGTTAGAGTCTAACTTCACGAAACAGAAGCAAAAACAGCAGATAACTGAAAACTGAGATTTAGTGGATGACTCTTGTGAACACGGTAATGAACCTCCGGGTTCCATAAAACGCTGGGAACTTCTTGAGTAGCTGAAAAATTGGCGGCTTCGCAATAAGGGTTCACCATCATGAAGTTATTTAGTTCGTTAACTACCAAAAACCAATACAAAAATTATAGTTCACATCACGAATACATAATACAGTATTTCCCTGGAATCCGTACTTTTTTTTTTACAGAAAATGTTAATGGGTTTAGGTCTGCTTTAGAGCAGCTCGGGCAGGAAGTGGAGCCTATAAACTTTGCAATGACACAAGAATCTGTTCCGCTCACTACCCATTCTCTGCAGACATCACCTGACGGCCTGGCGTAGGGACTTTCTTCAAATGCGATTACACGTCTGATCAAGAAAATTCAGACTTTTATGTAATATGAAGGTTCATCACCATGTTCATAAAATCCCGACATTGGACGCCATTCTCAACAACCTGAATAAAGGCTACACCTTCATCACCGGTTTTCTCTACGATCCATTCCAATGTTAGCCTTCAATTTATGCCTAGGTGAGTCTTCCTTTGACATTTTCGGAATATTCTGGAATATTCACCATTCCCGATCATTCCCTCCATATGAAGTCCAAATATTCTCCTCAGCGCTCTGTACTCAAACATTTTCAACCTCTGAAGACTATTACTTTACAGGTCGTGACACCGTGTACTGTGTTAGAAGTTTAGAGAGATTTCGGAAGAACTTAACTGCATCCGTCTTCAGGGTCGATGCGTAAGCCGAGATATCAGCGCAACCTGCGTAGCTTAAAGTTACTCTGCTTGCTCAGCTTACTATTCGACCCAGAGGATGGAGTCCAAAAGTTCCTCCGAAACATCGGTATAAATATCTATCAGTCTGTGCCTTATCTACTCTTTGCACTAAATTTTTTCTCTTCCCTAAAATTATCAGACTATCCGTGGTTTAGGACTTGCCGAAGAATATTTCCAAACCAGAGGCCCTTGGTGACGTTTCGTTACATGCTAGTGTTTTGCTGTAAGGGGTATTTAGTTCCCACCCAAATCCCAAGTTGGAGTATCATCCGTTACAGGCTGTCAGCTACTGGTTATTCAATGCACTGGAAGCACCAATTCTCAACTGAAGGCTGCATCTTTCCCTTGAAAACGCCATATGCCATAACAAGTGGCAAAAACCAACAGAGAACATAAGAGCAAGGTGCTGATGTATATAAATACAGCAGATCCCCCATTAGCCGTGCTGGATATGAAGTGTGAGCAACAAGGCGAACATGTATAACATGTCAACTGAAACTTACAAAACGACACATACATCTGTACGTGTATTTTACTCGAACGCTGTTGGTACAAATATCTGAGTGCTTTCTGAGAATCTTTGTGCCGTTTCTGCATGTCAATAAGGTGATTCAACCTTCTCGGGTTTTTTTTAATACGAATTCAAACACGGAAAAATCTCCCTTCATTTTGTACTTCTCTCTTTTTAAAGCAATTTTCTCACGAAGTTCACCTTTCGACGTCGGCCTCATCAGTCAATTTTCTAAACAAAGTTCCAGATTAATCTGTATCTGGCCAATCGAAAGTCCAAAAGAAAAGGTAAACCTATCTCTATAACCAGGTCGTGGAGATCCATGAGGGTGTGAGACTTCGAGGTTTTCAAATTTTCTAGACAATGGGATCACTGATGACATGTAAGGTTGTCAACCTTACATGCCGGCCGCCCTTTACCCCACTGGAAGACTCCTGGTACTCATTTCTGTTAGAGGCTGAGTTGACCCTAGGACCATAGTGCCGCTGGAATGAATTGATAAATTGAAAATTCCAATAACTTCATCGGGAATCGAACCCCCCACCTTCCGGCTTGTAGCATAGTGTCTCAATGAAATACGCTAGCCGATGCCCCGGTTAATCGAGAGTCTGTTGTGTAAAATTCCGAGCAGGATAACGTAGCGGTAACGTATTATACTTGTATTCAGGAGGTACTCGGTTCGAATCTCGACCCGGACACCTGCCATCCCTCCTAGAGAATTCCGGGATCGTACTTCTATTAGGCCAAGACCGCTTCCTTCCAATTCCTTTGCAACTCATACTTCATGAACAGTTCTGCAAGTCAGTGGTACATCGTGAACTGCGGATAGAGCTGTTAGAAATGAACTACATGAATACATGCTGACATGTCTTGTACTTGCAGATACAACTCGAGATCCACCACCGAGAGGGAGTCGGGGCGACACAGAGGGGGCAGAAGGAAGAGGAAAGGAGGCGAGGACGACATGAAGCCACCGCTGTCACCATTCTTCACCAAGAATCGCTTCAGGTCTGCCCTAGCTGCCGTAAACCTTCATAACAACAGAGCTGGCCGAAGGGTGAGCGAAAACTGAAACTGTGACTTTCCGCTTGCAATTTCTATACTAATTTGGAGCCGAGTAACAAGTAATATACTGTATTTCAGCATGGTGACTCGTTGCTAGGCAATGACCACGAAATAAGCAACTACACAATAGCCGTTGCTAAGTGATGGCTCTATGAACAACGGCCGTTGATATGTAATTACCGCAACAGACACGAAAGTAACAAAAGAAGTGCTGTTGGAAGCAGCGTTCTCTGTGTGGTCCGTGCCGAGGCTATATAATGAGGGCCAGCTTCCATTTGTCTTGAGTCTTGAGATGGCAGTGAGAAGAGTGGGAGGTTGGTGTGAGTTATCCACCAGCCTGGGAGTTAGTGAATTAGAGTGAGTTGGTTGGTGAGCGAGTTAGTTGGAGGACTGCTGAGGTTCAGTCTTTGTGGGCTGTTGCTGTTAGAATGTGGTAGCCGAGGCACGGGGACAGTTCGGAAACCGAGATGAAGGGGAAAGTCCGCCGTTGAAGCCGCTACCAAGCAACGACTAATGAAGGCAGCAGGCTTGGAAAACTTAATTGTATGCTGTATTGAATTGCAGAGTGCGTGAACTAGTGAAATGGTTATAAATACTTGTAGTCGTGGATCTGCAAGTGTTCAATAAATCCAATTCCCATAGCCATATCCCCTCAATAGTCACTCCATAAGATCGTGACAGTAGAATCACAATTGATCAAGAACTGAGGGGAGTACCTGGAATCCCTGATCTCGTAGCCAGTAATACGCGTGATTTAATTACTACTTGGTTTGTTGTGTTTCTGTTTCACAGTGATCGGTAATTATAAACACTGGAGGACACAAGACCGTAAGTAGTAAATATTAAATCCTGAATGTCTCCATGGTAACTCACCACAATTACCTGCTCTTACACCTCTGTCAATGTACCCATTTCATTACAATTTTAGTACGTCCCTGGTTCTCACATAAAAACAAATATCACGTGAACCGCGCTTCTGGGAAATTCCTCGGTTGGTGGTGAGTAAGAGGCCAACATTTATCGCCACCTGACTCATATGTTTACTTTCACTTAGTAGCAACAGAAGCGCGCCGCGTCCTCAAAGGTTAATAATATTTGTAATAAATTGTTAGGAAATAATAACTAACTTCATGGAGCTGAGCCCTTCTTGAGAAGCCGCCGGTTATACTGTTACTGAAGAACTTACCAGCATTTTATGGAACCAGGGGGTTCTTTCCCCCCCCCCTTTGGCGCTACATCCCCAATTTGGGCCTTGGCCTACCTTCATGAAACTCTCCATTTCACTTCGGTTTACTAGATCTTGGATATTCGGTAGGACTCCTTGACCTTGCGATCAGCTTGTCGCAAGACCTCTACCTGTGCTCAAACAGGGAAGAACGCGCGCACACACACACACACACACACAAATATCAAACATTCATGCCCTGAGTGGGATTCGAACGCATGATCCCGGCTTCCGAGAGAGCGAAAACAGTACATGCTTCAGACTGCTCGGCTACCGTGACTGGCAGAAGGTAAATTATAGTGTTACAAAAGCCCTCCACTGGTTCCTGTCCTGTGCCAGAGAAGTCCAGTTCTCTCTAATATCCATTTTATTATCATCCACCTACTTACGCCTTGGTCTTCCTAGTGGTCTCTTTGCTTCTGGCTTTCCAACCAATATGCTATATGCATTTCTCTTCGTCCCCATCCCTGCTATATGCCCTGCCAATCTCATTCTCCTTGACTTGATCATTCTCATTCTACTTGGAGAAGAGTACAAAGTTGGTTAATTGGAAATTCATATTGAAACGTAGGATTACATAAAAAAACATAGGATATTTGAATAGTTTCTGCTCTTTGCTGTAGGCTGTGGAGTCGAGCTTGGTGACACAATGCAAGTGTCATGGCGTGTCTGGCTCTTGCAACATCAAGACCTGCTGGCGCGCCCTCCCTACGCTGAGCGAGATCGGTGAGCGGCTCAAACGCAAGTTCACAGTGGCTACAGAGGTTATTAGCCGAAGGGTGGGCGCGGGCCGCAAATTGCTCCCCGCCAGCTCCGCCATGGGACTCTATAACGAGGATGACCTGATCTACGTGACTAAGTCTCCTGATTATTGCCTCAGAGACGCTCGCGTCGGCAGTCTGGGCACCAGAGGGCGGTACGTAATTTGCATGTCTCTTGCTTCGTTATATAAACATTCATGATTTAATCTCGTTCTCTCGTTTCTGATTTATTCCTTTGCCATCCATTTTTATTTGTCCCTTATATTCGGTAAAGCGACTGGCTACAGGCTGGGCGGCCGGGGGATCGCAGCTTGAGTCCCGGTAGGGAGGCAAGAATTTTCTCTTCTGCATGTCTTCCAGACAGGTTCTGACTCTCTCCCAGCCTCCTATCCGTTGGGTACCCAGGCTTCTTCTGCGAGGGTAAAGCGGTCGGTGTGTACGACACTGACCACTAACCTCCAACTAGTGCCGAGGTTAAGAATACGTGGATCTACACACGCACTGCCCCATACGTCTTCATGGCGTAGTGCTTAGTTATTTAAGCCCAGGAAACAATTTTACCTTTACGAAATCCTATCGTTATTCGTCTCCTTTCCTGTCCTTTCCGTTAAAACTTACGGGACAAGTATCACTGAAAGTAGGCCGTTGCGTAATAACAATCGGTATCAACAGTAGTACGTTATTTCAACCTCCACTTCCTCTGTGGGCGCAAGAAAACATACACACAGTGGCTAATGTGTGCTGAGCTGCACGGCTAGAAGGCAATTTGCATCCAGAGGGTCCAGCAATCAGCCAGCTCAATCAAAGTTTTCCGCAGTTTTACTCGGTCCTAGAGTAAAACTTCGTTTGGTACCCCCGTTACACTTCACATGAAGTCCCCTTCTAACATTAACATCAAATTTTCGTCCGAATGTATCCCCCCCCCCCAATTGATGAATCAAAATGTCACCCTCATGAAGGTTAATATCAAAATTCCGATTATGAGCAGTGAATTCCTTTACTTGGCGCTTCACCCTCTCTCAAACGTGCCTTTTCCAGAAGGAATGGGCACTTATTGGGAAGCTTCAAAGCAGTATTTTTTCTGTTCTCTCCAAAATTTTGTGTCTCTTACGTCTCCGCAACAGTATATTGCTGGTGTTATTAATATTATTATTAAATTTGGAGCATAAAATCTATCGACAAAACAGCATCTCTGCCTGCGCAATACGTTTTGTCTATAAAAGCAAACTTCTTAAAAAATTCACTAATTCGGTAAATTTAAAATTTATGAAAAGGCGGCTCCGGTTATACTGAGGTTTGACAGGGGGACAGTGTGCACTAATAGATGTTGCTATCGGGAGGTACACTAGGAAACTGCTTCAGCCCAGATGGGCACTTTAATATCGTCTCAAGCATTTCTTCTCTTACCGCTGTTCCTTGCTGATACCTTTTCATAAACACTACAGACTCTGTAGAGTAACATAACGACAGAACATCAGAAGTAATGGACTAGAATATCGATATTGTCATGTGTAGGAGTGACTACAGACGGAATTTCGATTTATGACTCGATTTACTATATTGTGACGTGCTACATGACGTCCATCGCTGCGCAACGACTGCAATGGGAACCCATACTTCAGCGACAAGGAATACATGAAAATTGTTGAGTTCCCAAAGCAACGAATTGAATATGTGTAGGAGTGACTACAGACGGAATTTGGATTGATGAATCGATTTACTATATTGTGACGTGCTATATGATGTCCATCGCTGCACAACGGCTGCAATGAGAACCATACTTCAGCGACAAGGAATACATGGAAATTGTTGAGTTCCCACAGCAACGAATTGAATGTTGTCATGTGTAGGAGTGACTACAGACGGAATTTGGATTGATGACTTGATTTACTATATTGTGATGTGCTATATGACGTCCATTGCTGCGCAACGGTTGCAATGGGAACGCAACTTCAGCGACAAGGAATACATGGAAATTGTTGAGTTCCCACAACAAGGAATTGAATACCAACAGACCGTTCCGTAGCAACGAATTGTTTTTAACAGTGGGAATAATGCATTTTCGCGGTAACAAGAAAGACTGCGCTGGCAAATGCCAACAGCATATACAAAAAACAGACCCGTCTTCTCGTCAGAGAGGGAGCCCCCAAAAACAAGACCGCAATTGTGAAACAGTAATAAATATCAGGTCATGAGCCCCAGATGGGGCTCGACATAAGACTTACTGAGGGACCGTCAGTCGCAGTGTGATTGGACTTGGACCAGACAGTTTCCAGTTTACAGTTTTTGGCAGTTGAGTTTGTATTCAGTTTGTATTAGACTCTAGCAAGAAGAGTCCTTCGACAAGGGACCAAGACACCTGACCGAGGATAGCGGTGCAAGTAATTATAACAGTGAGGAAGAAACGTCTGCAGACGTTAGAAGTGATCATAATTGTACCTGCGTGTATAAAAGCGAGAGTCCAATAAATATTCGCCAAATTCGAGACCTGCGTCAATTTATTTCTCGCGTTAAATAGCAAACACGCGACAATATTATTATATACTCACGACTCGTGACTACACTTCACAGGTCACCGACACACAGAGACTACTGCCCTCAGTCTATTAAAGTATCCGCTAGCCGTTTTCTTATAATTGATTTTAACATAGGAACTATAATAATTTAACTTAAGTCTTCTCTTCACAACCGCACTCTTGCAACTAACTCTTTCCTTCACAGACTCCCGTACAGAACAGAACTCTCAACTAAGCTCCAAACTTCGTTTCGCTTACAACCTCTCGGCACGGACCACATAGAAAACACATCTACTCCATTACTGTAGTCCAACTTTTGCATTATTAAGAATCTGCTGTCTAGCAACGGGAACGTCTTTACGGAGCCGTTGTCCAGAAACGGCCCTAGTAAATCCGCCCATCTCGAGATCGTTGCATAGCAACGGCTCTACACGCTACAATATGAAGCCATTCCATTATTTTTACAACGATAGATTCAGCCGACCTTTACTCCCAATAAGATTCCTAGTACTCATTTCTGTTAAAGGCTGAGTCGAGCACAAGGTCATAATGCGTTAAATTAAAAAATTCAGTGACCTCATTGGGAATTGAAACCGCGACTTTCCGACTTGTAGCATAGTGCCTCAACCAATTACACTACCGTGTGTCCCCCCTCAACGGGGTTTGCACTATTATGTTCAAAACTTGTGCTAGCCGCATAACTCTTTATTTTCTTTGCGGCAAATCGATAACGGTTCCACCAACAGGAATGTAATTCACACATGAATAATTCACCGGTACAAGATAAAACAAAGGACGTTAAAAGATAACAATGTTTTATTTATTTGCAGCTTATTTAGGGTAGCTCAGTCGGTATAGGGACTAGGATACGAGCTGGATGCCCGGGTTTCAATTCCCGACAAGGGCAAGTGATTCTTCTTTTCTCGGTGGCGTCCAGACCCATTCTCCTATCCAATGGATATCGGGGTCTCTTTCTCCGGGAATAGAGCGGCCGGGGCGTGAAACTGACCACTCACTTCCAACTAGTTCCGAGGTCAAGAATGGTTGAACTATACCTCCACTCCCCCAATATGTCTTCATGGCTTGTGCTTAAAGGCACTAACAGATATAACTTTATTTACTTACTCATATTTAAAAGGCTGAAAGCACAGGGGTTAAGACATACACATGTATCAAACATCTCTTAATACCAAGCAACATCCTACTGTGGGAAGGACGGGCTTTCGTCTTGTGTTTACTCACATTTCAGGCTCAAAACACAAACTGTGGAATTCTTAGCTGCCGGATCCGAAGCCGCGGGTTAAGAATTAGAAAGGTCTTTAACACGTAAGGGAGAAGCCTTGTTGTTTCGGCGCCACAAATATGCTCATGTTTTCTCAAGAAACGCAGGCAGTCCTTTCAAACATTAGTTAGGGTGTTGGAAGGGAAGGAAAGCAGAAGGGGTAGAGAAGACGAGTTTTAAAGCAAACCTCGGAACTGTTAATGTACTGCGTTGAGTGCGTTTTTATTAGCGTCCCTCCGCAAACCGCTCCGGGGTGTTCGACTTTATCGTCCTCGCCTAATGAACTGTATCCAAGAAGTATTTGAGGGAGGGTGGGTTAGGGGGTTTGAAAAACAAACTTCTCGAAACAAACTGAAATTTAAACATTACAACAACTATTAAAGACATGAGAGACCTTACTGTTAATGAGACTACAGTATTCAGAACAACTAGAATAAGATATCGTGTAATCTGGAAGAAGATTACCAGAGTTTCGGAGGGAAGTAATACCTCCATCTTAGGCCGCGCCATGGCTCAAGCGGTTAGTCGCTGGCTTCCCATCGCGGCGGCCCGGGTTCGATCCCGGGTCTGATCAAGTGGGGTTTGTAGTGGACGAAGTGGCGCTGGGGCAGGTTTTCTCCGAGTACTTCGGTTTACCATGCCAATCTTCATTCCACCAATTACTCCACAATCACCCTCAAGTATCATCTGGAGCTGGTACAATAGGCCAGAGGTTGCCGCAGTACAAGGGACTTAGTCCCACCCCACTAGCAATAAAAAAATACCTCCATCTTCAGGGTTGAAGAATATGCCGAGCAAGAAACAAGCAAGCAGTATGAAATCAGTGCTGTCTGCAGATTGCTTACCTACTTAGCTTAATCTTCCAACTCTGAATATGGAAACACTTTGCTCCTCCGAAACATAGAACATATACTAGAGTATACGGAATTACGAACTAAAAGGCAGCAATTTTCGTACCTACCGCTGTGATAATCTCAGTCATGGTTCGCGCATTAATATTACTAATCTCTAAATATTAGGACACTTACCTAGATGAGAATGTAATTAATATAACGGTATTCGAATATGTAATGCCGTGTAGTTCAATAAGGCACCGACGTTTAGGAGGAACGCACTAACTCACAACAGCTACACACGACACCCACAGGACACATGGGCGCATAGACGAGGGCATATCGCAAAAATTGTACTTATGGAAGGAAGCAGAGCAGTTTCGTCAGCAATTTTACAGACACCTGAAGATGACCAAGATGAAGATGTTGGTCGAAACATGTAGTATGCATACACCAGTGGTGTGGAAGAGATTTTAACATTTAAAACTTTTAAAGGTTTTAAAAATCAAGTTGCATGTGATAAT